TGAGCCCCCACGTCCTGCTGGCATTTGTGCTGGCCGGCGCAGATAATTCCGGGAACAGGCCCAGAGCTTCCGCTGGGCTCCGGCCTCTGCCCCGGGCGGCTCAGGCTCTCCGGGACGATTAACTGCTGCGCACACGCAATCCAGAATGGGAAGTGCCGCTCCCCACGCACCCTTACAGGCTGGCGGCAAGGTCACCGCGACTCCCCAGGCTCCGCCTGGCCGCCGGGGACTTCGCCTCTGCAGTGGGGACAGCGCCCTCCTGGGGCGGGGTGGGGGCTGACGAGGACATGTGTCTGTCTCCAGTTCCCCCCACCATTGTCCGCAGGGCTCGGCCCCTGCCACGCCCACACCACCACGGAAGGCCAGGTGTTTGGAGATAAATGCACAGGCAGGCAGGCTATCCCGGAGATGGTACGGACTGGGGGAGGAGGGGGGAGAGTGCCAGGTCACATCAGGCCTGTGGTGGCCCAGGCAGGTGAGCGGCCAGCAAGGACACGGCATCCCTGCTTGGATGCTGCATAAGCCACCGGGGGGGGGGGGGGACCCTGAAGGGTCCCTGGCACGCTCAGCCTTTCTGGGGGCCCCTGCTCCAGGTCAAGCCTTCTGCAGGGTGCTGGAGACACAGACTGGGCCCTGCAGTCGCTCGCTTCCTTTGAGAGGAGTCCAAGGAGTTAAACCAGTGCCTGGGCCCGCCTTCCAAAGAGGAAGGGTTGCCGCCCCTCCCACCACGCAGTGAGCCTGGCTGCCTCAGGTGGGACTACAGGACCTGGTCTGTTTGCACCTGCTGTGCCAGCACTGTCACTGACAAGCGCTCTCTTTGCTGAACACGTCCTGGTTGGGGGTTCAGCTGTGGTAATCACCATCCCCATGATCTCATGCAGGCTTCCCAGGCCCAAATGCTTGGGCTCCTGCCACCCACGTGGGAGACCAGGATGGAGCTCCTGCCTGCTGCCTGGCCCAACCCAGCCCATTGTGGCCATTTGGGGAGGGAACCAGCAGATGGAAGACACCTCCTTCCCTCCCCCCGCCCCAGCTCTGACTTACAAATAAAGCAAGCTTAAAAAAAAAAAAGTCATGTTCTGGTGGGCAGTTGTCACCACACAGTGGATAAAAAGGCTACAAAATAGGTGCTCAATTTAAAAACAAAATGTGGGAGACAACACATCAGCACTGGTTTTCTGTGGGCACACAGGGTTTAGAGAGTTTTCTGGGGCCAGCGCTGTGGTGTAGCGGGTAAAGCTGCCACCTGCAATGCCAGCATCCCATATGGGCACCGGTTCAAATCCCGGCTGCTCCACTTCCAATCCAGCTCTCTGCTATGGCCTGGGAAAGCAGTTGAAGATGGCCCAAGTGCTTGGGCCCCTACACCCATATGGGAGACCCAGAAGAAGCTCCAGGCTCCTGGTTTCAAATCGGCGCAGCTCCAGCCATTGCGGCCATTTGGGGAGTGAACCAGCAGATGAAGACCTTTCTGTCTCTCCCTGTCTAGCTCTGCCTCTCAAATAAATAAAAATTTAAAAAAGGAACCTCTAGCCCTCCACCGCCATAAGGCTGGTAGTTGAGAAAGACGCCAGAAATGATGGTATTATACAGAGGCGTCATCAGTTCCCACGGCCAGCAGCTGTTCCGGTGGTGGACACAGGTCACAAAACCTCCGTGGAGAGAGAGCCCCTCACTCTCCAAGGCGGCAGGGGGAGCAGTGCCCCTTGTTCAGTAGCCCCCCACCTCAGACTGCCCAAAAGGCTCACTGTTGTCCCCTCTATCACCACCCGATTCCTGTGCTCGCCCAGGACCCAAGAACAAATCCAAGTCCAGGCACATGTCCTAAGGCCTGCTCTGGGCCAGGCCCCAGAGCACTGAGGGCAAGAAACAGCTCAGAGGCCTTTGTGGCCTCCCCACCGCCCGGCCCTGGGTCACCCAGCCTCTGCTTGCACACAGCCAAGCAATGGGAGTCCCTCCACCCCACACAGAAGCAAAGTCCTCCCCAAGTCCTGCCCACGGGTGGGGTTCACAGGCAGCCACTGGGCCAGACCGTGCCCTTAGCCCTCATCCCCAGCAGGTGTAGGAATGCATGAGAGCCCCTGCACCTCCCTCCCTCTTGAACCGTGGCACGAGCTGGGAGGCTCTGACCCGGAGCAAGGGGCTGTGGCACACTCGTGTGCGCATGCACACACACACACACAAACTCTGCTGCTCACACCTGCCCAGCACCCCCACAGCGATAGAAGCCATCAGCCTACAGCTCTCTCCTTGCCTACGCTGACCCCTCCTCTTTCTCAGGAACCACACTCCCAACTCCTCCGGGGAGCCCCGCCCATCACACCTACCGCAGGAAGTGCTGCAAACTCTAGGTCGGGTACCTACCGTGCACATGGACAGCTGGGCAAGGCTCCGGCGCTGAGACCTGTCAGGGAGCCCTCCACCCCTGCCCTCACTCATCCTCCCGCCATCCCCACTCCACCCTCTACCCCTGGGTGCTCCATCAAGAGGCCTCCCCTCCCTGCCTCTGCGCGCGGAGCCCTCAGCTCTGGCCAGGCATCCTGGGAAGGGAAGGAGCAGGTCTGGATGCCAGTGCTACCTCCTCCATGGGCTGGCTGTCCAGGCTACTCCTGCCCTCACTAGAACTGGGGTCCTGGTCTGCCCGTGGCTCCGAGTGGCCCGCCGTGGAGGCCTCAAGCCTCGCCACCCTGCTCCCCTGGCAGGATGCTGGCCAGGCAGAGGCCTGAGTGGAAAGAAGCCCCGCACCAGTGTTTATAACAACAACATAAGCCTTTTATTTCTCATTAAGCCTCTTAGTCTCTTAGTATCACAATGGAATGCTGAGAAAACAAGAACAAAAACACGAGTCTCTGTGAATCTCTGACAAAGAGCCGAGATTTCAAGGCAATCGGGGGAGGGGCTGGCAGAGGAGTCCCACAGCAGGGCCCATGGCGTCTCTCCCGGGCTGGGGGGTGGAATGGTGAGAAGGCGGCACTGTCCTCGGCTGTCCTTGGCAGTTCTGCTCCTGACTGCTAAGTGCACCCTCTGCACGGACCCCCAGGGGATCCCGGTGCCTCCCAGGCACCCGCCACATGACCCTCCGCCTCTTCCAAGCACCCTGGGAACTCCAGCCCATGCTCCAAGGGCCCCGGCAGAGGGGAGCCGAGGGACGGGCGCAGGCCACACTGCTCTGGCGTGAGAACAGCAGGGCGCTGAGGCTTGTCTGGGCACTCCCTGTGGTGAGGGTGGAGGTGGCGGTGGTGCAGGCGGCGCGCGGGGCTGGGCCTAGAGCTTCACGGTGCCGGGGGGCAGGCTGTGGTTGCAGAGTCGGTAGTAGCGCAGGTCGTTGACCAGCCTGTGCACGTTCTGGGTGAACGAGGGCAGGTCCTGGAAGGCAGGGGCACCGCTGTGGCTCAGACGCCCTCCCACACCCCAGTTCACCCCCCACCACACCGCGCCAGCTGCTTCCACACCCGGACCCCCACCGGAGAGGTGCAGGGCCCTGCAGGACAGGGAAGGAAGGGGCCGCACCAGGGACGGCCTGCTCCTGAGCCCCCCCACAGGCCTGCAGGCAGCCCCAATCCTCCCGAGTGAGCCAGTGCACGGGGATGGGGACACATCCACATGGAAGCCCCCACAGTGTGAACCTGAAACTCCGGAGCGCACCGCCCAGGCCGCCCCCTGCCATGCGGGATCACCTGACGCCTCCTGCACGGCTGCAGGCCAGCAGCGAAGCACGTGCTCAGCACGCACACAAGGCCCATGTCCAGGTGCCATCTGCCTGTGACCCCGGGACGCGCCCAGGCTCAGAAGCAGCCGAAGGCATGCCAGGCCCTCCTGACCCCACCACAAGCTGCCTGCAGGACGGCTGCTCACGCCTCTTCCCAGGCCCCAGCAGGCTCACGCTGCAGGCTCTGCAGCTACCACACTCAGTCTGAATCCTGCTTCCTGGCTTTGTAACTGCCAACCACCTAGCCTGAGTCATCTGGGAACGCAGCTTGCCCAAGCCAGAGTACATAGCGAGCTGGGCACAGTGTGGCCTACAGAGGGCGCTGCGAGCCCATCTTCCCAGCAAGACTGGGTGAAGGCAGGAGCTTGTGGACCCAGACTCCAGGCAGCGGCTTCAAACTCACAGTGAATTCACAAACAGAAGGGGCAATGCCTTTTTATCTGAGAGGGAGAGAGCGAGCTTCCATTCGCTGGTTTACTCCCCAAAAGGCCACAATGGCTGGAGTTGGGCAAACCCGAAACCAGGAACTGGGAGCTTCTTCCGGGTCTCCCACGTGGGTGCAGGGACCCAAGACTTGGGCCATCTTCTGCTTTCCAAGACCATAGCAGAGAGCTGGATCAGAAGTGGAGCAGCCGGGACTAGAACCAGCGCCATGGGGGTTGCCTTTCAAACAGCAAATCAGAAGTTCCAGAGTGGAACCTGAGTGTGCTTCCCTATTTCTTCATACACACCCAAGTGCTTCCAATGTGTAAGCTGCTTTAAAATCAACAAGTTGACTGAAATTCATGTCATTAGAAACTGCTCAGTAATACAGAATCCGGCCTCTGATGAAAGGGAGGCGGGGCAGGGTTGTGGCACAGCGGGTTAAACCACAGCTTGCAATGCTGGCCTCCCATATGGGAACACTGATTTGAGTCCCGGCTGCTCCATTTCTGACCCAGCTCCCTGCTAATGCACGTGGGGATGCAGCAGAAGGTGGCCTAACACTTGGGTCCCTGTGAAGACCCAGATGGAGTTCCTGGTTCCTGGCTTTCGCCTGCCTCAGACTTGGCTGTTGTGGCCATCTGGAAAGTGAACCAGCAAACTCTGTCACTCGCCTTTTAAATAAATTAAATAAATTGATAATCTTTAAAAAATATATAAGGAAGGAAAAATACCCAAGTAGCTGAAGTGAACTTCCAGAAGCTCAGGAGAGGACCAGACAGACCCAGGTAAAAGCCGATCCGAGACAAAAGTAAGTCGGATGTGAGAAGAAACCGCCCCGCCACACATCAGAAAGCAGAGTCGTTACGGCTGCTCCCCTGGAGCAGCTGCGGCTCCCCACGCTGACGCGGAGGCACGAACATGCCATCAGGACCTCCCCTGACCTGACCCAGGATCAGGCAGATAAAGAGGAACATTGCTTACTCCACAGGGGAAGCTCCCCAAGCAGCCTGCTGGGCCCAGAGACTGGGGCACCTGCGGCAGGAGGAGGAAGCAGCGCCCAGGAAGGAGGCCACAGCAGATGCCGGGCACCGTGCAGCGGCACAGCACGCATCACCAGCGATGCTTGCTGTCAGGTGGAGACGGCCCAGGTGCGTGCTGTGAGGGCCGCTCCCAGGACTGGCAGCCGCAGGTCAGCCCCAGCTCTAACCCCGGCCCCACGGGCACAACTGCCGGGCACCAATCTTCTCTGCCTGTCTGCAAGTTTGGGCAAGAGTACCTGGCGCAGCTTCTACCACACCAGTGCTGGCTCGGAGGAGCGCCTCCCCATGAGGAGATGAGGGCATGGTGAAAGCACAGGTCAGGACAAAGGAGCTGAGTGCTAGGCCCAGGAGGTGGGCACACGTGGCTGAGACGACAATGCAGAAGCCGAGACTGGAGAAGAGTGCGTGCCCCTCCACCGAAAGGCAGCCCAGCCCCGGGGCATCCACTGGACAAACTGCAGCCAACCTCCAGGGTGGGCACAACCAGGCCCAGGCCCTGACGAGGCCTCCCCCGCCCCCGGCCCACACTGGCCCTGCTCTCAGCCCTCTCGCCTCACCCGATCCATCTTGAAATTCCTCCCCAACACGTTTTTCTGGTTGGCATCCACACCATCACAGCCAGTCAGGAACTCTGGCAGGAAGGCTGCAAAGAAGCCGTCGAAGTCCACAGAGGCCATGTTGTAAATGGCAATGCCAATCTCCTCCTGCAGGAGGTCATGGGACTTGTGAACGAGGACCTGGAGCAGCACGTTCACGAACTGGAACAGCATGGTGGTCCGGAAGATCTTCTGAGGGCCAAGAGAGACCAGTGAGTGGGGGCCATGGCAGGTCCTAGTGCCCGACCCGAGGGGCTGGGACCTGGTCCATGGCTCAAGAAGGAGACACAGCATTTACCTTGTGGTACAACTTCTGCTTGGCATTGAGAGTCTCCAAGTAGAAGAGATTTTGCTTGAAAAGGTGGATGTCAGGCTGGAGAAAGGACTGTCCAAAAGCCTAGGAAATAAGCCCACCATTTTATAAGCAGCATTTAAACCCCTCAGACTGGGGCCGGAGCTGTGGTGTAGTGGGTAAAGCCGCCGCCTGCAGTGCCAGCATCCCATATGGGCGCCGGTTCAAATCCCGGCTGCTCCACTTCCGATCCAGGTCTCTGCTATGGCCTAGGAAAGCAGCAGAAGATGGCCCAAGTCCCTGGGCCCCTGCATGCACATAGGAGACCTGGAAGTAGCTCCTGGCTCCTGCCTGCAGATCAGTGCAGCTCCAGCCATTGTGGCCAACTGGGGAGGGAACCAGCAGATGGAAGACCTCTCTTTCTCTCTCTCTGCCTCTGCCTCTAATCCTGCCTTTCAAATAAATACATAAAACTTAAGCCCCTCAGACCAAGTCTTTCCAGGCCCTCGACCCTAAGCACAAGCCTGCCCTTATGTGGAGGGCCACGGCGAGCGCACGTGCTGCCCCAGGCCTCCCGACCTTCGGTCAGACCTGAGGAGTGCTCCTCACAAGGCTCAGCCTGAGTCTTCCCCACTGGGTCCTGCTTCTTCTTTCTGCCACATCTCACCCCCCCCCTCTACAAAGCTCTGAGTCCCTGTCTTTGGGAACCTGCTGCTTTCACATGGGGTGGAAGATCTGAAATCCATCTTTGGTGTTATCCGTACCAGCCATGTGTTTTTTCCCATGGCTGAGTTAGTACATAACACGGATGTGCCCGTATGTACATCCATTCACCAGCAGATGGGCATCTGCACTTTCCCAGTTTGGGGCAATCAGGAAACAAGCCTTTATAAACACCTGTGTTCAGGTTGTATTAATGTTTGTCTGCGTTCATCTCGGGTAAAATACTCAGAAGTAGAGCTGCCCACCAAACCATAGCTACACATAAGCAACTGCCAAACTGTGACGCTGTGAGCAGCCCTGAGCCAGGGCAGTGCTGGAGAGGGAGGGGGTGGGGAACAAGTACCTGCCTACTCCAACCCAAGCTCTCCAGGCAGGAATTCCCACATGTGTGTTGTATGTGTGTGTGCACACTGTACATGCATGCCCACACGCATGGTGTGTGTTGGCTGAAGGGAGGAGGGGTAGGAATTCCTCTGGCTTCCCCATGAGGAAAAGCACAGTGAAAAAACAAAGACAAGCCCCCGTTAGTCTGGGTCTCAGAATACAGAAGCCTGGGCCCCGGCAGGGTAAACTGCTGCCCACAACGCCAGCATCCCATATGAGCACCTGTTTGAGTCCTGGCTGCTCCACTTCCAGTCCAGCTCCCTGCTAATGCACCTGGGAAGGCAGGGGATGATGGCCCAAGTGCTTGGGCTCCTACACCCATGTGAGAGACCCAGATGGAGTTTCTGGCTCCTGGCTTTGGCCTGGCCCAGCCCCAATCATTACAGCCATTTGGGGTGCAGACCAGTGGATGGCAGACCGCACCCTCTCTGTCTCCTTCTAACTGCCTTTCAGATAAACAAATAAAATCTTCTTTAAAATCAGTCTTTAAAAAACAATACAAAAACCTGACAGCTGAGTGCAAAAGGTAGGGAGCATCTGACAGCAGCTCCCAGAAGCCCAGCGCTGCCCACAGGGGCCACCACTGCCAGGAGCACGGGACCCACACAGCTCACTTTTCTACCGGATGGAACCATCACCACTGCTCGCTCCCAGGGCAGCACCTCTGCTGATGGCCGCCCCCCACCCCCTCAGTGTGAGTTAGTGCCGGGGGTGGGTGCAGGGGGGCAGGAGACAGGCAGTAAGGAAGTGACACTTGTCAAACACCTGTAAGCACCACACACTTTGTAAATGTGATCTTATTTAGCACCCCCCCCCCCCCAAGCAGGCAGGATCAGCCCTGTTTACAGAAGAGACAGAGGCTCCCTACATAGTGAGAAGCTGGGCTGGGCTTCAAAGACAGGACATGCTGCAATGGCCAGGTGGGAGGAGGTGAGACCACGCGCCAGGAAGTCAGCCAAGGAACAGGCGGGCCAACGGACCCAGAGTGGGGCGCGCCTGTCCTCGGCCCTTGCCTTACCTGCATGATGGCACTGAACTGGGGCTCGTTCTCCATCTGCTCCTCGGCTAGCCCCCGCTGCACACTGGCCAGCACGGTGGACTTGAAGAAGTACCTCCAGTTGTGATGGAGGGTCCGGAAAAGGAGCTCAAACAGCTCAGCCTTCACATCCGGGGAGGGCCGCTGTGGAAACACACACAGACGCTCAGCCCTTCCCTTCCCACCATCTTGGCCCTGCGACAGAGGCCAGAGACATGCCTGCTGCCAGCAAGCAGGGCACCAGCTTCCCACACACACTCTTGTCACCGCCTGTGCAGAAAACCCGAGCCCACAGTGTCGCCGTGCACATCAGGAGCGCTCGGCAGAGACGGCCCACGCTGGAGAAAGACACCCCCAACAGGGCCCAGGGGCCCTTTTTCTGAAGGAAGCATTCAGCTCTACACACCAGGCAAAAAGGCAGCCAAGGGAGGGGCCAATTAGGACCACAGATTCTCTGTTCTGAAAAATGCCAATATGACCGTCCCATCTTGGTTGTGTCGTTCACTTTCCTAGGGCAAAAACTCAATTCCAGCTAACATGTTGGTGTTAGGCAACCTCTCAGGCTAATGAGAAACAAGATGTCTTAAAAGCAGCTAGGACAGCGAAGTTTACAGAGCACTCAGGAACCACCAAGAAGCCGTCAGGAGGACCTCCTGGGAGAGCCACACACCGCGCTGATCACTCTCTGGACCCGGCTGGCTCTTCCTGGCCTCGGAGATTCTGAGCACTTTGGGGGGGGGGGGGGCCTCAGCAGGGTTTCCCAGCTTAGCCCAAAACCTCCAAATCAGTGGGCAGCAGGCACTTCACATTATTCCAGAGGTCTTTGTAGAACTCAAAGTTATAAAGTCCAGATATATTAATTCAGCTTTGATTAAAATGAAACCGACACCAGAGGCCACAGGCTTCCGTGGCAGGAAGCCGTACAGGGCTCCCGTGTGCTTCCTGAGGCGAAGCAACCATTGCGGCCGCTATGGGGCTGGTCTGCCCTAAACTCGTGCAGCCACTGAAACTCCGATGTCTCCGTGTGAATGGTGGATGGACTGAGAGAGGAGATTCGAGCTAACTGTGGCACCTGAGAGTGGCTATCACACACCTGATTACTAAGTACACCCTCTGCACTATAACCCCCGAACCATGGCCTCAATAAGCCTTTCCTTTCCCAAAGACACTCCTCTAAGGCATCTCAAAGTAACAAGAAGCAGACTAACACAACAACTGAACTTACTTTGTTCTTAGAATGGACAGTTGGAAATGTTAACTCTCACAACTCAAGTTCCATCTGTAGGACCATGGCAGGTACCACGCCGAGGGACTGAGGGCACAGAGCTTGCCCATGACACGGAAGCTGCCTTGCACCCTTCAGGCCGTGAACACTCTTATGAGGGAAGCATACTTGGTGATATGTGTTGACCGATCTTACCGACCTAACCTGTGATGGTCAACCTGGCACACGCACACCACACCGCTCTAATGGACGTAATCAATACAGAGAGACTGTACAAAGCTAAATGCCATCTCTTTTTCTTTTTCTTTTTCTTTTTTTACAGGCAGAGTGGACAGTGAGAGAAAGAGACAGAGAGAAAGGTCTTCCTTTGCCGTTGGTTTACCCTCCAATGGCCGCCGTGGCCAGCGCACCGCGCCTATCCAAAGGCAGGAGCCAGGTGCTTCTCCTGGTCTCCCATGGGGTGCAGGGCCCAAGCACTTGGGCCATCCTCCACTGTACTCCCTGGCCACAGCAGAGAGCTGGACTGGAAGAGGGGCAACCGGGACAGAATCCGGCGCCCTGACCGGGACTAGAACCCGGTGTGCTGGCGCCGCAAGGTGGAGGATTAGCCTATTGAGCCACGGCGCCGGCAAATAAATGCCATCTTTCTTGGAAAAACTACTTCACAAGAATACTACAATGACTTGAAAACACAACGCCTTTTCCTATTTCAATACTCCCCAATCTCGAGACGGGGGTGGCACACAGCACCGCCGGCCCTCCTACCTCCGCGATGATGGGGTACACCTGCTCCATGCACAGGGCAATGATGCTGGGGAGGAAGGGCTTGAACACCTGGCCAGGCTCCTGCACCACCACCTGCAGGATCTTCAGGAACTTCTCCACCACGCGGCAGCCGGTGCTGCCCTCATGCAGGATGCTCTCCGCCAGCTGCTCTCTGCAGACAAGAGGACGGCACACAGTCACCAAAGCCATGCTTCCCTGCCGACCAGTGGGTGACAAAAAGCAGCCGATGGCCCCAGGCCCCACTGCTTCTCCCTAGAACCCAAAATCCTCAGGCAGCGGCCGGTGGTTACCTGGTAAACATGTTGAGGAAAGTCTGTATGATCTGCTCAGTGAAAGGCACGCCCATCTGGACTCGAAGGCCTCGAAACAGGGTTAGGAAGAAGCTCAGCATCTCATCAGTCACATCTAAGGGAAAGAGCAAGGCAGGAGGTCACAGCGAGGCTCCGAGGGGTACACAGAGCCACGCTCGCTGGACTCTTCCGCAATCTACACTCTCTCTCTCCAAGGCTTCCTGCACCACCAGAGCCAGCGACAGAAAGCAGGAATGATAAAGAACACACAGAGAACAAGGCTCTGGTGCATGGGACCTCTGCTCCCCGGGTCCCCACAGGAAACAAAGATCAAGTCAAAGCCCTCACAGGCCAGCCTCCAGCATGATTGATCACTCTGTGCACATGCTGACCACTGTCCAGTGGGATCAACGCCTGGGGCTTCAGCCACTTCTCTCCATGACCACAGCCCCTGCGCCTGGGCCAGGGGGCAAGTGGCTCAAAGTGGATAATGAGAGTATACACCAGCTGCACAGCTCTGCTCCATTAAATGGATTAACTGCAGAAAACACTGGTTACATGTAGTGCAATTCCAATCCCACATCTCAAACTGCACAGAATGAGCTTGTAAGCGGCCATCCGTGAGTGTGTGCTGACAGTGAAGCCCCTGGTCCCCTCCTGGGAGCCCGACAAGACCACGGTAAGTGCTCTCATGATGCTGGCCAATGGCCCCAGGGCAGGAGTGAGCCTCCATTGGTGACCGTGACCAGGTGGGACAGGCCACACGATCTCAGTCAAACTGCCCTGTTGAGGAGCTGAGCAGCTCTAAGCTGAAGACATTCTCTCGCTGCTGTCGTGGAAGGTCCTGTGACTCCCATGTCTGCTCACGTTCCAGAGTGGCCGAGGCAGACTCAAAAAGCCAACCAGGCCAGGGGCCTCAGCGACTCTGAGCCACACGACAGCACTGCCAAGGCCACACTGACGGCTCTGCTCACTTCCCCAAGGGGTCTCGGCCCCAGCTGCCCCCGCGAACACCACGGTACCCACCCTGAGCACAGCTCCCCCTCCCCCAATCACTGAGCAGCCGCCATGAGTGCTACCCCTCTGACCAACTGCTCTGGCTCTTGGGAGTGCCATCCACCAGTGAGGCCTCTGGGCCAGCTCCTACCTGACTGATGGATAAAAGCTGGAAAGAGGGCCAGGGAGACCTGAACGGATTCCTGCAGCGACTGGTAGCAGATCTGGCGGGACTTGGTGGACTCCCCAGAGATATTCTCCACGATGTCTTCTAAGACACTAAGTGTCTGGTGGATGATCACTTTGGCTGCAAATTGAGATCAGGGTGCCGATTATGACACGGCTGAGAAAAGCAGGATGCGAGGGAGCATGGGGGAGGGGAGGGAACTTGCAGAGGCATCCAGAAGATGACCAGGAAGCCCGGCCAAGGGAGCAGGGCCTCTGCAGGCCGGGGTGCCAGGGTTTCTCTCTGTAGCCTGCTCTCTAGGTACTTGTTTATCTTACTTCTCTGATGCCAGGACTCCAGCTGCCCACCTGCTTGCTCAGGTTTTTGCCCCTACCTACCGGCAACAAGTCCACAGGAAAAAATAAATAAATAAAACAAAATGATCCCAGGTCAGGTGCCTGAGATTCAGTCAGAACTCCACACTGCCAAATGGGCCAGTGAGCGAATCACCACAGGCAAGAATGGACACGTGCAGTCAGCCTGCTCCTCCAGTGTGCTCATGCACACAGACAGCTTGTCCAGTCCTCAGCCTAGCAGCCTGCAGCCTGATGACATGGATCATCCTGGCTGACACAATCTGACAATGCCCCCGTGCATGAGTGCACTTTCTGAAACCATGCAGCATGCAGGGAACACTGAAGCAGTGGCAGCAATGGGCAGCGAGAAATGCCTGGCTGTGAGCCACACGCAGTCCCCAGACGGCTCCATACGCTGGTCTGGATGCCTGGCACCCCCACCTTTGCCGGAGTGCAGCTCAGACACGAAGCTGGGACAAGGTAAACAACGTGCCTGGCGAGGAGAAGACCCAGGACAGGGAAGCTGTCACTGCTCCCAGCGCACGTGGAGTGGAGCTTCCCACCAGCCTCCCCAGGGGACCCCATGGCTCAGCCTGAGCCTGGTGCGCTTAATCTGGCGACCTCCAGAGGCTGACCCAAAGCCGGCTGACAGCCAGCTTCTGCCTGGCAACACGCTCTGAACGTCCCCACACCCCGGAGCCCAGCCACCTCTGTGGGGGTTGACACAGCTGCAGGGAGGGGGGAGCAGAAAGTCGTGCTCAGGAGGTAAGAGATTTAGGTCTGGCCCCCAGCTCTGCTCGATCCTGAGTGCCGGTTTCCTCCTCTGAAAACGTGGACAGCACCACCTCACCTGGAAGGCCGAGGACGGACAAAGACAGCGGCCCACAGCAGGCCTGGGCCAGCACACCGGCCAGCGGGACTGGGCAGTGAACACTGCCGACTGAGGAGCCGCCCACAACAACTCCAAGCACGTGAACTCTTACCACTCCAGGAAACCACAGTTCCAGGGGGGGAGACCTCTGCCCCCGAAGACAACTCAAACAAAAACAAACATTTATTTAGAAATCTCGGGAAGCACTGCGGGTCTGTGTAAGAGGAGTGTGGGAAGTGAACTGGGCTCCACCTCCACAGGACAGGCGAGGGAGCCCCTCAGACCCAGCAGTGAGCCCTGGGCCCGCCACTTTCTCTAGGAGCCTAGGCAACTTCCACTTGCCAGGCCGCAGCGAGAGAGCACCTCTCCAATGGTCAGATTTACAGACACTGCCGAAGCAGGTACACTGACCATTGTCAATCATGCGGCAAGTACATGTCACTACACCGGAAACCACTCCAAACAGAACAGACCGTGGAACGTGCAGAAAGAAACACGCCTAGACTCTCCAAACATGCTATGGTCATGAAAGCGAAGAGATGGGGGTGCTTTCCTACATGAAAGGAGACTAGAGATGCGACCCTGGAATACAGCCTCGGTTTTTCTTTTTCTTTTTCTTTTTTTTTTTTTTTTTGACAGGCAGAGTGGACAGTGACAGAGAGAGACAGAGAGAAAGGTCTTCCTTTGCCATTGGTTTACCCTCCAATGGCCGCCGCGGCTGGTGCACTGCGGCCGGCGCACCGCGCCTATCCAAAGGCAGGAGCCAGGTGCTTCTTCTGGTCTCCCATGGGGTGCAGGGCCCAAGCACTTGGGCCATCCTCCACTGCACTTCTGGGCCACAGCAGAGAGCTGGCCTGGAAGAGGGGCAACCGGGACAGAATCCGGTGCCCCGTCCGGGACTAGAACCCGCTGTGCCGGCACCGCAAGGCGGAGGATTAGCCTACTAAGCCACAGCGCCAGCCAACCTTGGTTTTTCAAAAGCAAAAAAAAGAGTATTTTGGTAATAACTACTGGAGAAAATTTTAATGTGGGTATACGTTAAATGCCATTACTTCAACACCATCCCACATCTAGACTGCGTTAATGGTGTTTGCTTACAGTGCAGACAGCACCTTGTTCTGTAGAAAGGCAACGCTTTCACCACGGAAGTGGTGACGTCTGTCCATCTCTAAAAAGGTGTGTGCTAGTAGGAAGAAAGCACCACCGTGGCAAAACAACACCTGGTAAAAGCTGGGTGAAAGATACACAGAACACCCAGACTGAACAGACGAAGCCATTCACCTTACTTTTCCAACTATTACATAAGTGTGAAGCTACTTCTAATTATAAAGCTATTCTAAGATATGTCTCACAGGATCACAGGGAAGACCAAATGAAATAATGTACACAAAGTTTTCAACCCATTCAACAGATGTTAACCATGCTCTTAGCTACATTCACCCAGCAAACCATCACTGTCACTCAGCTGACATGACACCTTCCAACCCTCTGAAAGGTCCTAAGGCTTGCTCTGGACAATGAGCTGTAAGAACCACTGCTCACGTCCCTCCCCAGCATAAGCACATATTGAAATGGGCCCTTCACCAAGCTGGATCCTTAAGCCCCAAGTTCGATGTATAGAAATGTTGTCTTGGGGCCGGCGCTGTGGCATAGCAGGTAAAGCTGTCACCTGTAGTGCCAGCATCCATATGGGCGCCAGTTCGACTCCTGGCTGCTCCACTTCCAATCCAGCTCTCTGATGTGGCCTGGGAAAGCAGTAAAAGATGGCCCAAATCCTTGGGCCCCTGCATACGCGAGGGAGACCCTGAAGAAGTTCCTGGCTTCGGTGCAGCGCAGCTCTATCATTGCAGCCAATTGGGGAGTGAACCAGTGGATGGAAGACCTCTCTCTCTCTGTCTCCCCATCCCCTCCTCTCTCTGTGTAACTCTGACTTTCAAGTAAATAAATGAATCTTTAAAAAAAAAGAAATGTTTTCTTGCACTAAAGCCACTAAGCTGTTGGGTTGCTTGTGACCACAGAGCTCACCCTAGCCTATGCTGACTGAAATAATTAGCAAGCACGGTAAAGTGAGAAAAGGAGAGCCTTCAGCTTTGTAAAGCATGACTCCACAACAGCTGCACAGGTAACGCCCACACTGTTTAATCTTCCTATACCTTAGTTTCCTCACGTACAAACCAAGACAATTAACAGTCCCTAACTCATAAACTGATGGGAGAATTCAAAGAATTGCTCAGTTTTTGAAAAAAACTCGAAAGCAGGATCACAGAGCAGAGTCTGAAGTCGGGTGCTAGCACAGCCAGAGATTGGATGTGGATGAAAATCTGCCATGGGGGACCAGTCCCAGGACCCGCTAGAGCCATGTGCGGATGCTCGGGTCCCTTACACAGAATGGTGCAGTGCCTGCAGAGCACCCAGGCCCATTCCCTACCCACAGGCCCCAGGGAAGCATCTCCAGATTACTTAACACCTAACGATGCTAAGTCGTTTTAGGGAAGCATGACAAGAAACAACCTGTACATGTTCAGTCCAAATGCAGCATTCTTCCCAAATATTTTCAACCTGCAGCTGATGAACCCAGGCATGTGGAAGCCATGGAGAGAGACCTGAGTGCCCAGAGTGGTTTACCTCAGTAGGTAAGCTAGGGGCAGGCGCTGTACAGTAGTGGGTGCAGGCAGCTTGGGAAGCCCGCATTCCACGTCACAGTGCCTGGATTCAAATCCCGCCTCTGCACCCAATTCCAGCTTCCTGCAAACGTACAACCTGGGAGGCAGCAGAGATGGCTCAAGTACTTGGGTCTCTACCAACATGTGGGAGACTCAGACTGACCTGGCTCCCAGCTTTGGGATGGCACAGCCCTGGCTATTGCAGGCACCAGGGGAGTGAACCAGCAGAGGAGAGGTGTCTCATCTTTGTTTCTTCTCTCTCTCTTTCCCCCTCTCCCTCTCTCTCTGCCTTTCAAATAAAAAGAAGATAATCTTTAAAAACATAGGTAAGCTACTATTATCCAACTATAAGCATATAACATAAGATACATTTAAAAATTAATCTTCCTGATTATAAAAGTAATGTTCTTAAAAATACAGAGTATCCTTTATTATATCTACTAATTCATGAAGCATTCTACAAATGACATCATCTAAAAATATTTTAACCTTTTCTTACTGTGAAAACAAACTGTATTTTGCAAACATGTTTTACTGTCTGCTATTTCAGGAAAACTTTCCAGAAAACCTGACACCACATACTTGAACAAGAGTTCTGGTTCTTTTTTCCCCCCTCTTTAATATAAACAATCAAACTTCAGGTGCTGTGTGTAAAGATCCCAGGCGCTTTCAAAACCTCTGAATTATTTTATTTGGAAAAAGATCACAGCCAATCTTGAAAGTCAGTAATAAATTCTTTTTCCCAGTATGTAGAGGTGAATTGCTTTGTTTGTTTTTACAAGTATCAGAAATGAATCAACAGTCACCATGGCTGTATCTTATCGATGGGAAGGCACCATCAACAGTGACATCCACAAACGTCTGTCTTAGGTCTCTGGCATGTTGTACACTTATGCCAGACAAGAGGCAACCTGCACTCAGAAGTGGATCCAGCTGACAAGTTCACCGATTTCTACCTGGTGACAATGGACAAAGGACTTCACATCAGGAGCCTCTGGTGCAAATCTCATGTGCCACAAGAACAATCCTGCCCTACCAATGTCCTTGGGTCACTTACTGTCATCCAGTGGCACCTTTCTCTGCAGGGTGATGGCACTGGGTTTCAGGTCGCGATAGTCCCGGGAGAGCGCGGAGATGAGGCTGGCATGGTTGATGGAGCGCACAGGCCACTGCTGCTCATTCTCTGGAAGGTTCGGCCACGGAAGCAGTAAGATGTTAGAGAGGGCTCGGCACACCAACACCTGCGCCTAAAAGAGACCCCAAAGGCATCCATCGGAGGTCAAAGAGCAACAGCAAGCCCGGCCACTGGTGCCCACTGCACACTGTGCACCCAGAGCCCCAGCCGGGGACTCCGGCAGCTCTGTGGTCCAACTCTAAGGCAAGCCGGTGAGGACAGAGAAATGCAGCAGTAAGACCAAGTCTGGGACTAGCGCACCCCAGTGCCAGGCTCAACAGTCAGTCCTGGCCCTCTTCCTTCCCGTCTCATCTGGCACTGGAAGCTCTACAGGGGAGCAGCCCCTCAGCGGCTGGTTGCCCACACTCTCAGAAGCTGCTGAGAGCAGAGCCGGCTGGCGTCTCTCCCCACCCACAGAGCCGCAATGCAAGGGAAGCAAAGGGCTCCCACCCCGGCGCTCCCCTCCTATTCCACTCCTCTCTGTTCATTTGAACCTGAACCTCCTAGAAGGGGTCTAAGACACTGCCTGAAGCTTTTCAAAAACCACACACACAGGAACAACAAACAAAACCTAGACTGGTTTGGACCAAAAAACCATAGAGAACCCTCAGACCACAGAGCAAATTACCAGGTGTCGAGGCAGCGAAAGCCGTCTGCCTGTCAAGAGGCGCCTTCTCACCCGCTACAGGCCCGCACCCTGACTACACTGGAAAGGGCGCTGCGAGGATCTCTGAGGACCACCTGCCAGTGCCGCCCAGGTAAGAACTCTGTGTGGGCACAAGCTGCCCGCTGAGTGCAAAGAGGCCACACTCTTCTTCCTCTGCTTTCCTGCAGCTGGGGAGCCCGGACCTCACCTTATCGACCAGCCGCTGGGCAGAGGCATCGGTGATTCTGTTGAACACTTTCTGCACTGCAGGGATGCTGATCAGAAAGACAGGCCGCACAGTGGTGGCCAGTGAGACCAGTAGGTGGCACGCAGACAGCAGCAACTTGTCCTGGACCTGGAAAGGGAAGAGGGCGTGTCAGCTCAGCCCCACCCTTGGGAGACAGGGACTGGCAGAACTACACTGAGGCAGCCATGAGCTGAACCTGGCTCCCAGCTGCCAATCATTTCACCCAGGCCAGACTCAGTGATGATTCCTGGGATGACTTCAGGCCTGAAGCTCCTGCCCCGAGCCAGGGTCCCTTCCTCCAGCTCCTTTACCGTCTCTGCGACTCTGAACTCTGTCACCCTAAGCTCAGCAATCTGGCAGCCCCTCAGTCACACGTTCCCACACAACTCCTCGGCACATCACCAAGGGCCCCCTTCCAACAGCCTGGGACCCCCCCGCCTTGCACTCCTCACGCCCAGCCATCTGCCTCAGTCCCACCATCTGCACTGTGTCAGCCATGCTGGTTTCTCCTGTTCCTTTCTGCTCAAATGCCTATGAACGGCTGGGGACACACACCACAGTCACTTTGAAATCAGCACAAGGGAAAGCATTTTCTAAGACTGGCACGAGCATGATGAAAACAGCATACCACAGGATCAGGACAGGTAGAGCTGTTCAGGAAAAAAATATTATGACAATTCCCTAGATCCACAAAAGATCCCCCAGTCTCAATCCAGGATCTCCATTTATCAAAGGAGAACACTTAACAGGCTAAGGCAGCATTCGTGAATGCGTGCACTCTGGAACTGTTTTCAACAGCGGCAGCCTGGGGTCCAGGGGTGGCCTGGTAGGTTACTGAGTGTGCTGTTAACTCTTACAAATCACAATTAAAACACAACATATATTTATGAAAAATAAAACATTGTTCTTACTAAAACAATACAGTGCTAAAAGTGGTACAACATGTTATGCATGGTTGAAACTGTAAGACAACAAAATGAAACAAACTTCTACACTCATGGGCTGCAGAAAACGGGCACACTGCAAGTGGCAGTCTTCCTGGAGGACAGCGCATTAGACTCTGGCGAACTACAGGACAGAAGCTTCCGCCAGCAGGAATCCATCTCACAGCCCCAGCGGCACAGGAGAAACACGGACAGAAAGGGAGCTCACTTCCAAAACCAGGAAAATCACATACATCCCCCCAGAGAACAGCCCTGGGCAACGGGAGAGACCGGAGGTGTTCTGCATACACACAGGAGACCCAGGAGCACCGTGAGGCAAACACAGCCGCACCACTGGCTATCTGTGAGCTTTTCCTTCTGGGTAAAAGCCCAGAGAAGTCTACAAAGATATACAACCAATGCTGCTTGTGCCTGCCTTGGAAAGGAAAATGCTTTGGAGGGGAAGATTACAGAGTACCACAAACTCTTGAGTCTGTAAATGTGAATACGACTTTACTTTTTTACAACGAGCACGAAATCGTGTGAGACTCGCAGACCTAAAAAATAAAGCTGTATTAGAACGTACAGGGGCTTCGGAACATTCCTGGGAAATTTGCACTACCTTTGAATTTCATTTTTTAGGAGCTTTTTGAAAGCCCTTTTGCGTGTCAACTACAACTAAAAAGGAACAGGCAAGGAGACACATTGCATCAGAATGGCAAGAGCTGCGATCCAACTAATTCTGATTTCACGGTAAACAGGCAGATGGACAGAAGGACGGACAGAGGCCCTGGCGTGGCCGTGGAGGTTTCAGGACCTTGGTGCTGATCAGAGGTGTGATCGCATCCATGGTGGTGGAGATGAGCGTCACAAACTGCTGTGTGTTCTGCCGATGAGCTTCGCTGCAGTACTGTGCCAGCCAGTGGGAGTAGGCCTGGAGGGCGGCCAGGGACTGGGCGTGCCTGCGAGAGGAACGAGACAGCTCAGGTGACTTTCATTCCCCTAGGATGTAAGAATCCCATCCACGGCGTGTGCTGGCCCAGGCCCCGGGCGACCGCACTGAAATCAGCTACATGCTCACACAGAACCTAAAACCCACAACACTTGTTATCTAAGTACTGCCGCTGCCACCTAGAACCCAGCAGGCACTTAAGTAGCAATAGGCCATCAGATTCAGTCTCTCTGTGACACACGCACCTTCACCTGAGAGGATAAATGATAAAAACGCAATTAAAGAACTTAGTGACAACATCCTGCCTTTAGAACTAATAAAGCTTTTTTTTCAATAACATGATTTTTTTTTAATTATTTATTTGAAAGGCAGAGATACAGAGAGACAGAGGCAGAAAGCGGGGGAGGGTCTTCTATCTACTGGTTCACTCCCCAAATGGCTGCAACATCAGAAGCTGAGTCAATCCAAAGCCCAGAGCCTGGAGCTTTTTCCCGGTCTCCTACACAGGTGCAGGGGCCCAAGGACATGGCCATCTTCCATTGCTTTCCCAGGCACATTAGCAGGAAGCTGGATTGGAAGTGGAGCAGCCAGGACTCGAACTGGCGCCCACATGGGATGCCAGTACTGCACACAGCAGTTTTACCTGTTATACCACAGCACCAGCCCCAGAACTAGTAAAGGTTAACATGCAAGGTGTGGACAACTAACAGGTATATAGCTTTGATAGAAGATTCTTGAGGCCAGCGCTAAGCCTCTCCCTCTCTCCATCTGTAACTCTACTTCTCAAATAAATAAATAAATCTTTAAAAAAAAAAAAAGATTCTTGAACTTCCATCATGCCATATGTTCTATCTGGTTGGACGATAACTGAGGCGCAGGCTGTCTGACTTCTGTGATCCGTGCACTAGGACAGACATTAAGAAGACTCACTGCTCATCAGAGACAATAAACAGGTCTGTAACAAAGAGAAGAGCTGTCTCAGAGTTTCCAACCCACCCTTGCAGTTACAGCAGTGAGGCCACTGGGGGGCACTCTGAGACGATGTAATATACTGTTCCTGCTGTCTGGCTCCAGATCCCTGCCTCCACCACTGCTACTCTGGGGGCTGCAACCGGTCTTTCTCCGACTTTCCTCTTCTCTTCCCTGGCTGGCATTCCCCTAGGAAGAGCCTCCCTTCCCCGCATTTTCTGCTAACCCACTATGGATGCCGGATTCTTTTCACTGACCACGGCGTAACCCACTATTATCCTGCTAAACCCTTCCAAGCGTTCTTTTCTCATGGCTGGGCATTTCCTTCCTTCCTGACTCAACACATTCCCAGGAACTCCTGCTGCAGACTGGGCGCCTTTCTCCTTCCAGGGGAGCCTGTGAGTCAAGTCCGAGGCCAGGCCCGGGGCAGCACTGTTGCAGACTGCCACACCGCGGAGCTGGGACACAGGCGACACCACTGTAAAACCAAACTCAGCACCAACAACTACATGGCAAATCCACATTAGGCACCTCCTGCTAGGATGAGAGACACCAGCAACTATCTAGTAACAATCTTTAACTTCATCTAACACAGTGGACACTGGACAAACCCAGGCTACAGAATGCTCCTTATAAACAATTTTGTAGGTCTGACTCTACAAGGTCAGTCATTAGTCTTCTCTCCTACATGTGCACACACACGCACAGACGGGAAACTGCTCAAGGTTACAGGTGGCACGCTTCACGTGTGCTTCATGATTAGTAAAGTTTGGATTAAAAAAAGATAGGAAGATATTCCTGGTAACACTGGGGAAAACTGAACTCAGACTATACGCCACACAGTACATAATATCGCATCCATTACATTTTTTTGAATGTTGATTATGGCATAATGGTCACATAGGGGATATGCACATAACACTTAAGGATTTATGGACAAGGTGATATGTCTACAAGTTATTTTCTTTCTTTTAAAGCTATCATTGTGGGACTGGTACTGTGGCACAGCAGGTTAAGCTGCTGTCTGCAGTGCTGGTATCCCATGAGCACTGGTCCCAGCTGCTCCACTTCCAATCCAGCTCACTGCTAATGCCCCTGGGGAAGCAGTGAAAGATGGCCCAAGACTTGCTTGGACCTCTGCACCCACATAGCAGACTCAGTGCGAAGAAGCTCACAGCTCCTGGCTTCAGTCTGGTCCAGCCCTGGCCCTTGCAGCTATTTGGGGAGTGAACCAGCAGATGGAAGACACCTCCTCCCCCACCCCCGCCCCGCAGCCACCGCCTCTGCCTCTTTGTAACCCTGCCTTTCAAATAAATAAATCTTCAGAAAGAAGAGATAAATAAAACGAGTTGGCAGACTTGTTCTGCAAACCAGAGTTGAAATGTTCTAGGCTTTACGGGTGACATATATTACATGTCACAGCTGTTCCGAACAGTCAGGGATGATACGTAAGTCAACAGGTAAGGCCGTGTTCCAGTAAAGCTTTACAAAAGGCAGCAGGCCAGATGTGGCACGGGCGCTAGGCCTTGGGGCAGGGCCATGTCAAGGGCAATGACTCTGGTACCAGACTGCTCCTTTCTGAGGTCAGAATGCCCCCTGCACCAGGTTTCCTGGCCCTCAAACTCAAAAAGCTCTCGTTATGTTGCCCATTCTTTTCCTCAAGTTTCCCACTTTTGTGCGTCTAATCGCACATATACTTTAATACAGATCTCTTTTCTTGGGAGAGTTACTTAAAACATGGTAACACCAGGCTGATCGTAAGGCTCTCTAATCAGAACTTGCCACATCAGTGTTTCTATGGGCCGCCAAGGTGATGTGGGAAGCAACTGATTTGTGGCCAGTGTTACAGGCAGTGAGGGGAATTCCCAGCAGAACACAGAGAGGAATAAGCAGAGTCAGAGTCATCACAACACGCTGCAGGTCGGGGTTGGGGGGCTGAGCACTGCTGAGTGCGGACTGCAGTCCGGGAGATTCTCCCTGAGGCACACTGCCGCAGAGCAGGGGCTTTCCCAACACTAGTGCTTTCCTCAACGCCAGGGTCTCGGGCGACCGCCACATTCCACTCTGCCCCAGACAGAGGCAGCTGATGTCGGTACTGACCCGACTCCTTCTCTGACCATCCTGTAACACACAGGAGCCAGCGGGTTCATACTGTGGCCTGCTGATGAGCACAGTCCAGTAACACCCCGTCCCCAAGTCCCCACCTCTCCATCCCTTCCACAGGTTGCTTTTCTGATGGATTCCCAAGTCTGTGGAGTTTCTCAAAGTATACTCTCCTGCTTCATAACAACCTAAGGTTCTTGTTTAATAGGCAAACACCTGAGCTTTGGGCCATCCTGCCACAGTCAGAATCTCAGAAACACTGTGTACTGTGTATCCTACTGTGATACAATACATCTACGTTTTCATCTATGGTTCCTGGCTCACAACTCCCTAGTCCCTATAATTTCCTAACTGATTAGGACAGGGGCTGACTTTGTGTGTAGCAGGTAAAGTCGCTGACTGCAATGCCAGCATCCCATATGGGCACTGGTTCAAGTACCAGCTACCCCACTTTCAATTCAGTTCCCTGCTAATGCACCTGGGAAAGCAGCAGAAGATGGCCCAAGTACTTGGACCCTTGCACCCACATGGGAGACCCAAAAGAAGCTCCTAGCTTCTGGCTTCAGCCTGCCCCAGCCCCGACTGTTGCAGCCATTTGGGGAATGAACCAGAGAATAGAAGAGTGGGCCGATCTGAAGGCAGGAGCCTGGAATTTCTTCTGGGTCTCCCATGTGGGTTCAGGGGCCCAAGGACTTGGGCCATCTTCAATGGTTTTTCCAGGCCATAGCAGAGAGCTAGATCAGAAGTGGAGCAGCCAGGACTCAAACCAGTGCCCATATAGGATGCAGGCACTGCAAAGTGACAGCTTTACTCATTATGCCACAGCACCAGCCCCAGAATAAAATAAATCTTAAATAAATTAGGGCAATAAAAATATTTTTGTACTATATTTCAGTCAAATGCTTTAAGATACATACACATCTTCTGTTAAAATGTTGGCCTTCAGTCCTTGGGCCAGCCAAGTGTCAGAGGTGGCACAGAGATGGTCTCCATTACTTACGGCAGGCCCTTTCAGGCACACCTCCAGAGCCCACGTGAACATGGAGCATTTCTGGGGAAGCCCCCAGTAACCACAGGACGGGAACTCGTCCAGCAGAACCAGCCTTAAGACCACAGGGTTGGAACCTCCAGCCCTACCTCTCCAGCAGGCCTACATATGCAGCTTCTACACAAACCCAAAGAACTGGTTTCAGCAAACTTCCGGATAACCCTTCCCCCAAAAACCACCCAGCCCTATTTCAATCTCATTACAATCAACCAGATGTCCCTGCAGGTGCGCTCTGTGGCACTGAGAAGATGAGGACTCAGTCCTGGAGTGAGCTCCCCTTTCTAAGAAACCTCCCCCACCCACGGAGGCAGGGTTCAGGATTCTGAGAATTAGTGGTCTCTAGTCCTCATCTTCACCTTAGTGATGCAGGAAGCCAAAACAGTTCTCATTAAGATGTCAATCTCCACCCCCTTGAACATGAAACACATGGAATATACGTGACAATTCAGTGGGCATGTGTTCCCGCCCCCTTGTGAAAGAGCATAACCTTTCCCAGAATGACTTAGAAATTTAATGAATCTGTATGACCTCCCTGAACGAGAACTGTGTGAGGACCTCTGTCTTACGCGGAAGCCTGGTTTTCAGTCATGAAACAACCTTGCTCTGGCTTGCACAGCCCAAGAAACCCATTTCTACTTAAATCAGTGCCTTCTGGGGCCAGCGCTGTGGCATAGAGGGTAAAGCCGCCTCCTGCAGTGCCGGCATCCCATATGGGTGCCAGTTCAGGTCCCAGCTGCTCCACTTCCAATCCAGCTCTCTGTTGTGGCCTGGGAAAGCAGTGCAGGATAGCGCAAGTCCTTGGGCCCCTGCGCCCACATGGGAGACCCGGAAGAAGCTCCTGGCTTTGGATGGGCCCACCTCTGGCCGTTGCATCCATTTGGGGAGTGAATCAGTGGATAGAAGACCTCTCTTTCTCCCTCTTTGCCTCTGCCTCTCTGTAACTCTGCCTTTCAAGTAAATAAGTCTTTTTAAAAATAAATAAATAAATAAATAAACAGTCATTGCCTTCACACTTCCATTGGCAAACACAGGAGACAAGAACCCATGGGTATTTCACCCAACTGCAGAGGATCCTGGGGGAGTGGGGAGGAAGACCCCTTCTTTCACACCTTGCCCTTTCCACCTGCTGCCTGCTGGTACCCTCTGTAACAACCTTTATAAGACAGCAGTAAACACAAGTAAGTGCTTCCCTGAGTTCTGTGAGCCTCTCTAGCAAATTAAGTGACCCTGAGGAGGGGGCTGTGGGGACCCCAATTTATAACCAGCTGGTTAGAAGCTCAGATAACCTGGGGTTTGTGACTGGTGGGGAAGCATGGGAGGGCAGTCTTGCCAACGGATCCCTTAATTTATGGAACCTGCAGAACAGAACTGAGAGAACACCAGCTGGTGTCCACTACAGAATTAACTGCTTGCCTGCTAGACACACACACACACACACCTGTGAGTGTGAAACTGTCTTTTCCACATACCACGGTTTCAGTCATGTGTCTGAGACTCACAGCACACAGGTGTTTCCACACCAGTCCCCACGCACTGATCCTGCTTCGGTTCCCACCACACCACGTGCTTACCACCTCCCAGCCACAGGCCCTGTCTCAGCTTGGACAGTCTCTGCTCCCACAAGCCCTGCTCCATACAATCTACCCCAGCTCTCATCCACCTGACAAATCCCAGTCACCGGTGCCCAAGACACAGAGCACAACCATCATTCTCTCAGTCTGGGAGTGTTCCCCTTCACAGCAGCCACTACTGTCCCTGTGAGAGAGGGTAGGTAAGGTCTCTCCGGAGAACGGGCAAACATCCAACTTTATACTTACACGTCAATGAGGTCCGGTTTCAATACTGATGGCACGGCAGTTTCAATGTTGTACAATTTGATCTGAGATCCATACAGAGTGACTTTGACCAACCTGTTGGCAAAGAAATAGGCAAGACAAATATTCAGCTTATGGCCTGTAGCAGACAAAGTGGACAAGATACCAACAGAAAGGTCCCAAGGACAGCTTTTACTCATACAAAAAGGAATCAAGATCAGACCTCAATTATATCCTGAAAATAATCTGAGATGTGTATGAAGACTGACAGAAAGGACACCTATACTAAGCACTACTTACAGAAATTTCCAAAACAATATAAATATCTAGAGAATGCAATTAACATATGTAATAAAGTGTTGCTTGAATATTTAATGACAAATATCAAGGTCTTCGAAACATGAAAACGCTGTAACAAAATATACATAGAACATATTCTAAGATTTTTTTTTAAGATTTATTTATTTATTTATTTGAAAGTCAGAGTTACACACGGAGAGAAGGAGAGGCAGAGAGAGAGAGAGAGAGAGGTCTTCCATCTGCTGGTTCACAGCCCAATTGGCCACAACAGTCAGAGCCGCACCAATCCGAAGCCAGGAGCCAGAAGCTTCCTCCAGGTCTCCCACATGGGTGCAGGGACCCAAGGGCTTGGGCCATCTTCTACTGCTTTCCCAGGCCATAGCAGAGAACTGGTTTGGAAGTGGAGCAGCCTGGTCTCTAACTGGCGCCCATATGGGATGCCGGCACTGCAGGCAGTGGCTTTACCCACTACACCAAAGCACCAGCCCCCTTTGTTTTTTAAGGATCTTCTCCTAACAGAAGAAAGTCTGGAAGAATTTTCACCGGAACAGGCTCATCAGTGCCATTTGCTCTGGGGATGGGATGAAAGAGGTAGATGATGGGTGACCTTTTTCTTCTACTGCCCTTTATTTCCAAATCATCTACAATGAACACATAACAAGGAGAATAAAAAAATATGTTTTTAAAAAGCAGATCTGCTCTTTGGATGGTTTATCTAAATAGGCTGACATGGATCTTTCTATAAATACATTTAATGATAAAACCATCTTAGCTTTCATTTAAAAAGCATTTTTAAAGGAAATGTTTCAAGTAGACAGATACATAAGAAAGAAAATGTGTACTGCAGAATATGATAATACTTCAGTTAAGTATGTGGATAAATGGAATTAAAAGTATGAGTTTGTTTTGGCACAAAAAATTTTTTTCAACATACATGGGAAATGCATATGATGAAAAAACTATGCAAAGAATTCAAAATTGCTTTTGCACCAAAATAAACTCATACTTTTCATTTAACTTTCCATGAAGTTTTTGAAGTACCCTTATTTGGTGCTGGGTATTCCTTGTATAATACTTCGGACTTTTCTGAAGATTTGAGAACTCTGGAGTGGGTGCTGTGGCATAGCAGGTTAAGATGCCGCTTGAGGGACCGGTTCCGTGGCGCAGTAGATTAATCCGCTGCCTGCGGTGCTGGCATCCCATATGGGTGCAGGTTCTAGTCCCGGCTGCTCCCCTTCCAATCCAGCTCTCTGCTATGGCCTGAGAAAGCAGTAGAAGATGGCCCAAGTGCTTGGGCTCCTGCACCCACATGGGAGTCTGGGAAGAAGCACCTGGCTCCTGGCTTCAGTTTGGTAAGGCTCCGGCCGTTGCGGTCACCTGGGGAGTGAACCAACAGAGGGAAGACCTTTCTCTCTGTCTCTCCCTCTCATTGTCTGTAACTCTACATCTCAAACAAATAAAAATCTTCAAAAAAAAAAAAAAGATGCCACTTGAGCCTCTGCATTGTGTATCAGAGTGCCTAGTTCAAGTTCCAGCTATTCCATTTTCAATCTGGCTTCCTATTAATACATCCCAAAGGCAGCAGGTGGTAGTTTAAGTGCTTGGGTCCTGCCACCCATGTGGGACATGCAGATTCCTGGCTCCTAGCTCTAGCCTGGAATTCTGCACACATTTGGGGAGTGAACCAATAGATGAAAGATGTGTCTATGTGTGTGTCTCTTTCTCCCTGTCACTCTAACCTTCAAATAAATAAATAAAAACCTTAAAAAGAAAATGTTTATGATAAAACTTTAGAGGAGGGAGAAACAAATGTTTCTAGAATAAACTGAAGTGTTTTAAAGTCCAATTCTCTTAGAATCAAGTTGTTGAGCTGACTGGTTCACAGGGCTTGCTGGGTGCCAAAAAATACAGTACAATATAACCAGCACTGTTCAGGAAACTGGAAGAGCCCCTCTTGCTGGAGACAGACATCTCTTTCTTAAGTAAAGGGGGCAAAAACCCAAGACCTGGCTACATTATCTCTGTGCTTCCCCTATGGAAACCTGGGAATGTAGCCACCAACTTGGGAACTTGCTAGAGGCAAACTGCCCAATCCTCCCCTCCGGCTGACTGTGCAGGTGCAAAGAGAGAACTGGAAGTTGGCACCTCTGAAAAGCGACCACACTCTGAAAAATGCTCCTCTCTGAAAAGAGGAGAAAGCAGGATTTTACTCCAAATAGAAATATTACAGGTTGGGGCCAGCATGGTAGCACAGCAAGTTAAGCTGCCACCTGCAACACCACATCCCATGTGACCACAGGTTCAAGTCCCAGCTGCTCCACTTATGATCCAGCTCCTGCTAATGCACCTGAGAAAGCAATAGTGCTTGGCCCCTGTCATCTATGTGGAAGACTCAAATAGGCTTCCAGGCTCCTGGCTTTGACCTGGCCCAATCCCAGCTGTTGCAGCCACTTGAGGAGTGAACCAGCAATGGAAGATCTCTCTTTCTTCCTCTCTGCCACTCTGTCTTTCAAATAAATATATACATCTTTGGAGGAAAAAAAAAGAAGAAGAACCACAGATTGTTTGGGGTTGGAGAGCTGTCAGAAAAGGCACTTGCAATCAACAAAGCGAAGGTTAATAAAAGCCAAGGTTCATGTGAAGTTCTAGGAAACCATGGTGCTAACTAGGAATCAAAACCGTTCTTATCGGTAAGGGTTACACAAATGTGCATTTGGTGTAACTCTTCAAAGCCTGTTTGACATTAAAAACAGATTTCTAAATACGTCTTTTAGTACCTCTATGGTAAACAGTCTTAATATTAGGTCTGCCTCACAGACAGCACAGACCCTGCTGATCACGAGGGCTATGGAGATGGCACACCCCGACAAGAGCCCCTCCTGACACTTCATTCAAATAAGGTCAAACAGCAAGTGTCTCCTGACAAATGATAACTCTAGGGGCTGGCACTGTGGCACAAGGGTTAAAGCCCTGGCCTGAAGCACTGGCATCCCATATGGGCGCCGGTTCGAGACCCGGCTGCTCCACTTCCAATCCAGCTCTCTGCTATGGCCTGGGAAAGCAGTGGAAGATGGCCCAAGCCCTTGGGTCCCTGCACCTGCATGGGAGACCTCAAAGAAGCTCCTGGCTCCTGGCTTCGGATCAGTGCAGCTCCAGCCATTGCGGCCAACTGGAGAGTGAACCAATGGATGGAAGACCTTTCTCTCTGTAACTCTTTCAAATATATAAATAAATATTTTTTTAAAAAATGATAACTCTGGATCTCCTACATCACCTCACTGTATACACGAGGTGAAGATGACTGACAGTAAACACGGGTAATGGGCCTATCCCCGGGGGACACCAGCGCCCCTGGGCCCCGCGCAGGAAGAGGAGGAAAGCAGACTCTGGATGTAGCTTGGGAAGTGTGCAGCATTCGGACTCAGGAAGCTGCCTACCATCCTGGTGCGCCCTCTTATGAATTATGGGACCCGAGCAGAGTCTTTGCCATCTCTGAACCATAACCTACTCAACGATAAAATGGAGCTATCTGTATCTCAAAGAATATGAAGGTAATTAAAGTTATTTGAGGCCAGAGGCGCCGGCACACTGGGTTCTAGTCCCGGTCGGGGCGCCCTGCTGTGGCCCGGGAGTGCAGTGGAGGATGGCCCAAGTGCTTGGGCCCTGCACCCGCATGGGAGACCAGGAGAAGCACCTGGCTCCTGGCTTAGGATCAGCGTGGTGCACCAGCCGCAGTGCTCCGGCTGCAGCGGCCATTGAGGGGTAAACCAACGGCAAAGGAAAACCTTTCTCTCTCTGTCTCTCTCTCTCTCACTGTCTAACTCTGCCTATCAAAAAAAAAGAAAGAAAAGAAAAAGGAAAGTATACAAAAAAAAGTTTTTTGAAATTTTGTGCAGTTTTTCATAATGCACTTTCCATGAACTCTTTGAATACCCCTGTATGCATGCATTTCAAAAATTTTTGCACCAAAACATACTTTTTATTCCATTTTCCTGGAACTTTTTAAGCACCTTGTAGGATGAAATGAGATAAAATGTGCAAAGCCACTTTTGAGAATAGTTTCTGACTGTACGCTGCTTTTCCTGTTACTGTGAAAGGGGCACACACAAGGTGCCCCAGAGCTGAGGAAGGAATGGCCCTGGCCCACAGCTGCCGGCCTACCTCTCCACGACCGTGAGGGCGTCATTGAACCTCGCAGCAAACACATCCCCGATAAAGTACTCGGCCAGGCGGCCCGCAGCCTGCAGCAGGGAGCTCAAGTCTCTGAGGGAGCAGTGCAGCCGCCGACAGTCGTTCTCCGCCGTGATGTTCAGCCTGTGTCCTGGAACACAGCAGCCCACAGGTGTTCACGGGAAGAACAAGCTTTCGTTACACAAGACAACAGCCTGCGGCAGCAAGACCAACTGCTGAAACAAAGCAAGCCGCTAAGTACTTCCCAGGTCCAATGCCACCCCTTGGCTGCTCCAGTGGCTGGACAGGGACACACAGCTGGTTGTGCTAATGGGGACCACGGGTCTGATCTGGTTCCTCTTCATCCAGAAAAGTACAGACCTGGGGGACAAGGGAACTTGCCCAACATGAGTCCTATCTGGGGCTAAAGCTAAATCTATGACTCCAAACCTACTGCCATTTGCACATGGCCCTGTCTCAGATGGAAATCTGTGATCTTATAGGAAGGACAGGCCTGGCTAAGAGAAGAGGGGTACAGTCAGCACCCCAGCCAGGAGGACCGTATGTATACAGTACATACTTAAGGGTACAGAACCTGGGTGTGGAAGACCTGATTCCCTGCCACTTCCTGGCTCTGTGCCTCATCAAACTCCCTGAGTCTCAGTTTCCTCATCTTTAAAATGGGGATGTGGGGGTGGGGGTGCTATCTACTATTCCAAGGGCAAGAATGCATTTAAGAGCCTGTAAACTAGGTTCAGATGACTACGGACACCACAAAGCTGGTGGTGTCGAAGGCCCCCAGCTTCATTCCTTGTCAACATAACTTCTGAGCAAGGGAGAGGCTTAGAGGAAGGCTAAGGGCATCCTTGTTCCACCACTTCCTTGCACTGTGCAGCCCTGGGCATCTGCAGCCCCTCGGCTCCCTCAGTGTGCTTCCCACCTGCTCTCCACCACCACTTCTGTCTTCACCCTGTTAGGAAGCCAGCACCAGCCACCCTCCCTCGGGGCTCCTCCACCACCTTCCCAGAGCCCAGACGGAGCACAGAGTTCCCTTCAGCAAGCAGCCAGAGCCCAGAGGCTCTCACCTGCTAAGACCGGGGGCCCAGACCCCCCAGTATCAACCCTGTGGGACGTGGCCTCCTCCCTCCATTCCGTTAGCAGGACCCACAGAACGTCCCATGCCTCACGTCTCTTCCCCTGCCTCACGTCTCTTCCCCTGCATGAACTGTCTTCTCTGCCTTGACTGCACCATTTCACTCTCTGCCCCACCAGGGCCAGCTACGTCTTACGTATGCTTCATGCTCAGCAGGCACCATCTGTTCTAGAGGCCTCCTACCCCCTCCTGCATTCTTCATGACACCCCACGCCCGTAAGGAGGTAAGCTAATGACTCCTGAGTCCCCAGCAGTACTGGCGATGCCCAGCGGCCAGCACAGCCCTGGTACAGACCAAGTGGACCACAGATGACTCAGGTGACCTAGATCAGGGTGGGTCTCAGGGCTTCACTTGCTCGTGCTGTCCTTGTGAGCATCCACTCCCACCATTCCGTCCCCAACTGTAAGGGCTGTCAGAACGCACACAGCACCCTGGGACTGGCACTGTTTGTAACTGTCAGGAATGAGAGCCGGCAGATGAGGAAGCGACTTAATGCTGCCTCAGATCCTACATTAACTTCCAAGTGACAGGGCTGGCAATAGGGGCTGGGACAGCCCCCACAGAGACACGAGCCTGGAAAGGGGGACACTCTGGCCAGGGCACCATTACAATGAATCACATTTCAAAAAGCAGGCAACCAAAGCAAGGGGCAATACAAGGAAGGAACTAACAAGAAGAGACACAAAGGCCAGCTTTGACCTGCTCCAAATCATTTGCTCCCTCCTTCTCCACTGAACACATACAGGAGCGCCTCAGTCCAGGAGGCCGGCCTCTCAGCCCACAGGCAGCCCTCCACAGGCCACCGGGAGGGGGAGCCAGGAGGGAGTTTTGGCATGCTTGTCATATGAGAGGGTCACTGCCTTTGTGGACCACAGAATGACACAGCCCTAATCCCTCAGTTGACAAAAATACCACAATCACACACCTTCTGAATGTCCATGGGACTTCCAGAGTTACAGCTAGGCAACTGACTCCTAGGGTCGATTTCTAAAACCTGGTGCTTTACTGCAACCAAACAGGGCTCTGTGGGAAACAAGTCCTCAGGGAGAAAATACACCCCGGTATAGGGGTGTAGGGGTAGGACAGGCCTCCAGGGAGATGAGGCCTGCTTTTCTTTCAGCAAACAATGTGGGAAGGCTGCTGACTCAGCAGCAGGAGCCCCTCGCTCTCACTAGAGGCAGCCATCTTCACCTGCGGCACCCTCTCCCGCCAGCCTCCACCCGCACCACTAGCTCTCAACTTACTCATTGTACTTCAGACCTTGAGCCCAGGACCCTCAGCAGTATCTAAACATGATGTTTTTAAATATTTTTAAGCATATAAGGGAGGCATTCTATGCTTCTCTTAAAAGTAAAACCAAAGCACCTCCCCAAATCAAGTCTCCATTTGAGTATGGTCCTTAACAGTTATCAAAAAGCTTAAAAATTTCCCTGAGCTAGCTTCCCCCTTCCGCCTATCCCAGCACTTCCCTCTACCACTTGGCCCTTCTTCAGTCTCGACTGCATGCTAGGTAGCTCAATGCCTCCAGAGGGAGCCATGCACCTTGACACAACTTGGCAAATGGGGCAAACCTGCCACCTCACTGTCCCCCTCCCACTCCTTGAGGGCATAATGCAAAGCAAGCCAAAGTTGGCTGAGCCATGACAGCCACAGGGTGAAGGCAGGGGTGACATTCTTCCAAAGCTCCTCCTGACTCACCTGCAGCCCTGGGTTCCTTTCTTAACCCCCTCATCCCCTCCTCCTGAGAATCCTCACCCTTATAATCACTCCCTGCTAACCATGCCCTAATTTGTCTAGCAAAGTGCAGTAGCTAGAATAGAAAACAGCCCACGAGGGCCGTGTGTGTGCCTTCATTATTAGACTGAGCCATGTGAAACTGCTGGAATCTGACCACTTCTGACCTAACCACAATGCAATCCCACACAGTAAACATAACACAGGTGTGCCAGCTAACATTCCCATTCATGAAACCTGCAGCTGGTTCTTTCCCAAATCAAATCCTGCACCCCCGTCCACTGCAGCCTAGAGATCTAACCATTACAACCAGAAAATCATACTAGGAACTGACTAAAGTTGAGGAGGTGGGCCAGTGTCCCACTGTCAAGTTGTTCAGATCTACCCGCATTTTCCATTTGGCCAATAGAAACAGATTCCACCCCTACCCCCCCAAAATCACAGATCATCTGCCGAGTAGAAGCTTCAGATGCAAATATTACAACACAGAGAGCTTTAGAGGGATAAAATGTCCAGGCCACATGAAAGTTTTATCTCCCATCCATAAACCAAACCATCCTGAAGCTGCCTGGATGTGCCCTGAGCCACATCCAAAGAAAAGCTCCTTGGCAAACCATTCCTAGGAAAAAAGAAAAATCCTAATGTTAAACATAATTTAGTCTTGCCCTTTTTTTTTTGGGGGGGGGGGGGGGTTAAGGGTGAGGGAGGGAGAGGTATGAAAACATTTGGGCCGGTGCCATGGCTCAATAGGCTAATCCTCCGCCTAGCGGCGCCAGCACACCAGGTTCTAGTCCCGGTCGGAGCACCGGATTCTGTCCCGGTTGCCCCTCTTCCAGGCCAGCTCTCTGCTGTGGCCCGGGAGTGCAGTGGAGGATGGCCCAAGTGCTTGGGCCCTGCACCCGCATGGGAGACCAGGAGAAGCACCTGGCTCCTGCCTTTGGATCAGAGCAGTGCGCCGGCCGCAGCGCACCAGTCACGGCAGCCATTGGAGGGTGAACCAACGGCAAAGGAAGACCTTTCTCTCTGTCTCTCTCTCTCACTGTCCACTCTACCTGTCAAAAAATAAATATATAAATAAAAAATAATTTAAAAAAAGAAAACATTTGAAGTATTCCACTCCGAAAGAACCAAAAAAAATCATAAACCATCCAGGTCTCCCCCATGGGTGACAGGGATCTAAGTCTTCAAGCCATCACCCGCTGCCTCCCAGGGAACACATTAGCAGACAGCTAGAATCGGGTGCACAGACAAGACTCAGACCCAGGCACTTCAATATAGGCTGCAAGTGTCCCAAGAGCTGACTTGAATGCTGTGCCAAAGCCCAGCCCAGTAAGAGGGTTTCTTAATCAACCAACAGCAGGTAAGGCAGAGAGGAAAGGATGCCTGCCGAGGGTAGAGAGGTGCACCACGGTGTGCCACAGCCATACGATGCACTCTGTCTTGGGCTACCGAGGAAGCGTAAGTAGAGCAAATACCAAGCAGCACATGGGCCTTCTGAATTTGAATGTTTTTTAAAAAGATGGGGGAGTTCCTGCTAGGCTGGAGAACATCCCCATAGGCTTTGCTGCTGGCCAAAATGTATACCCAATTGTCACGAAAGATCACCGCAGCAGAAGAGGGCAAGAACTGTGATTTGGCTGCCATCCACACGGTTCCACCATGAGTTCAAGGCTGGGGTAGAACATAAATGCAGGCTAAAGGAGGGGCTGTAACCTACTGGGGGAAAGACGGCTTTGTTTCTGTTGAGAGGCAACAAGCCTGACGAATATAGCATGGAGGTTGTCTGGGGTTGGGGGTGGGGGGCAAACGGCCATGGGAACCAGGGAACAAACTGTCCTCAGTTTCAATGTTTTAATAGCTTTCGCATTGGAAACTTGGCTTCTGAGCCACCACGGGACAGGGCAATGCTTCATCATGCATCAGAAAGTTCATTTTCCAACAGGAAGTAAGTATTCCTCTGGCCTGCAAAGTGTTCGCCACTGGAGTGTGCAGCAAGGATCCATGCTGAGGATGAGATTTATAATTGACCTGGAGGAGTGAGCACTCTGTGAAACTGCCGGCTAATGGGCTCCAATGATGGCAGGTATGTGCCATTTGGTTTAGGGGAAGATAAATGAGATGATCGTTCTAGGAGGAGAACCTCTGAGTCATCAGTCACTTCCCAGGAAAAGGACTGAAGACTCACTGCAGATTTTCTTCTCACGGCGGACTCTACACGATGCTCAACAGCCCATTATAACAGCCTACAAGCAGCCCAGGGGCCCTCTTTTCTTTAATAGATCAAGAATATATTTAGGGCCCTGAATACAATCTAATTTGAATAGTGGCCCTGAGGGAGAGACTACCTGGGCACAATTATGTCCAGCAATGGATTCTAGAAGCATATGCAGCATTTGCGCATGGTCAAATGATTTTCATGAGTGCGGCCAGTGTACTTTTTAAAGGCATGTTTCTTTTGAAAGTGCCTTTTACAAAACACTGTGTATGCTGTCCTGACCCCTCTACAAAGCCAGAGCCTACACTTGGGACATGCTGAGTCCCATCACACTCCCAGGGCCACTGGATTAGTTAGAAGTTAACAGAGTCATGGAAACAAGCCATCCAGGCCACTGAAAAGGGCAGCCTCAGCAAGGGCCTGCTGTGGAGATGCTGCCATGAACAAGCAGCTCATCCAGGAGACAGCTGCACCCAGCCAGGCTGCAACAACAGCCACACAACGAGGGGCCACTGGCAGAGCCGGGGTGACACCCGCAAGGGAAACACTGTGGAGAGGGCCAATGGGAGGTGGCTCATGAGAGACAGCACGACAGGGAGGGCCTGTAAGTATTCTCAGCAGGCAAAACGGAATGTCAGTTACTTCAACTCTTCATCACTCACCATCAAACATCATCTTGGGACTAGCATTAACCAGCTATGTGAGCCAGGAGACATGAACATCAATGATGTCTCTGAACATCAATTTCCTCTTCTCTGAAACAGAAGTATCTACTAAGTACACCTAACACCTCACAAGGCAGCTGAGAGACTTCAACAACCTAAGTAAGTAACACAGCACCTGGCACATAAAGTGTCATCAATGAAAAACCAGAACATGCTAATCCCGCACCCTGCACGGCGAGGCCTGGAACCTGCAGCCAAAGCCTTCCCAGCCAGCCCCAGTCAGGGCCTCCCCTGCCACTCACAACAGGAGAGCCAGGGAGCACTGCTGCCCAGGGCGTGCCACATGACTCAGCCCGCTCGGAGGCAGCTCCCAAGTCCCCTGATTCTAGCACCCAGGCCAGCCAGAGTACAGCAAAGTCCAAAGTCACCTTCTTCCGTACTTGTTGACTCAAAGGACCTAAGGAAATACCCCAGGGTATTAAAAGTCTTACCTCTTTGCTCCAAATGAGCTTCCATCCCAAACTCTGCTAGGAAACGCTGTTACAACCTCATCTTTTACCTGTCCACAGCTGAGTGTGGGTTTTTAGTTTCCCCTGTTTAGAAGTGGGGGGAGATTTTGTGCAGGGATGAGGGTGGAGCTGCAGTGGACAAATCACAGTCTGACAGCAGAAGTGGCAGGAATTATTATCAGTCCCGTTTTCTTTTTTTTTTGTTTTATGAAATTAGAAAATAAAATCCAGTTTACCTGACCCTGAAGTAACTATAAATTGCTGCAATCCCAAATAGACTTCTAAATTGTCCTGAAGAACTGGGAACTGAAAACAAAAAACAAAAAAAAAAAAAGATTTTTTTTAAAACTCATAAATCCAAGTTTTAAGAGCATTCTAACATTAAAACATCACAAGTACTTATGGGAGACAGGCACAATCAAAGACTGTTTTCCTGTAACCTTTCTATTCAGCCAGAAGTAGCATGCTCCCCTTAGGTGCTCCCTGACCCAACAATTTCTTAAAAAGATTTACTTATTTATTTGAAAAGCAGAGCAACTAGTGGGGGGGGGGGGGGTAGGAGGTTGGATAAACAGCTCTTCTTTCTGCAGGTTCACTCCCTGAATGGCTGCACCTGCTAGGACTGGGCCAGGCCAAAGCCAGGGCCCTGGAACTCCACCCATCTCTGCTTTCCCAGGTGTACTAGCAGGGAGCTGGATCAGAAGTTGAGCAGCCAGGACGCAAACTGGTGCTCTAGTACGGGATGCTGGCACCCCAAGCAGTGGCTTCACCAGCTACACCACAAAACCAGCCCCATTTTCTACAATTAAAACCACCAATTAACATATAGAATAAAAAAGGAAACAATATATCAGTTCAACACTTTTTTATTCAAAAAGGCAGAGAGACAGAGATCTGTATCATCTGCTGCTTTACTCCCCCAAAAGCCCAATAAAGCCAGGGATGAGCTAGGCCAAACCCAGGGGCCAGAAACTCCATCCAGGTCTCCCAAGTGGGTGGGCAGGGGCCAAGCAGTTGGGCCACCATCTGCAACCTCCCAGGGTGTGCACTAGCAGGAAGCTGGGATGGAGAGCAGAGCAGGGACTTGAACCCAGGCACTCTGATCTGGGTGTAGCAAGCAGCAGTTTAACCACTGTAACAAACACCTGGCCCCTTTTTGTTGTCCTAATTTTGTTTGTCTGTATAAGCAAAGGATGTTGGGGTGTTGACCATAATACTCCCACCAGGGGACATCAGGCCCCCAAATGACCTATACCTTCTAAGACTCTGAGACAAGACTATATCTCTCTACAAATAAATCCAAGACCCCCTGCTTGAAAGAAATCTGAGACATGACTTATTAAAGTGCATGGCAAAGTGAAAAAAATGGGCTAAAGCATTTGGAAGTCCATTTGCTCATGTAGCAGATAGGACTGTGTAAGCTCAATCTTTCTAAGGCTGCTACACTTAACACATTAAGATAAAAACAAAACAAACATGACAGGCCCCTAATGAGGGCAGACGGCAAAGTAAAATGACATTCCGCCTTTCAGAACCAGGGCCGGCGCTGCGGCTCACTAGGCTAATCCTCCGCCTTGTGGCGCCGGCACAGCGGGTTCTAGTCCCGGTCGGGGCGCCGGATTCTGTCCCGGTTGACCTCTTCCAGGACAGCTCTCTGCTGTGGCCCGGGAGGGCAGTGGAGGATGGCCCAAGTGCTTGGGCCCTGCACCCCATGGGAGACCAGGATAAGTACCTGGCTCCTGCCATCGGATCAGCGTGGTGCGCCAGCCGCAGCGCGCCGGCCGCGGCGACCATTGGAGGGTGAACCAACGGCAAAAGGAAGACCTTTCTCTTTCTCTCTGTCTCTCTCTCTCACTGTCCACTCTGCCTGTCAAAAAAAAAAAAAAACACCAAGACACACCTAGATTGTTCAGCACCAAAGCTGACCCCCAAAAGCTATCTCACCTTTGAGGAAGAAATTCATTAAATAAAATCTCTCCCAATAATAAGCACCATTTAGAGAATGACAGATAATTCCAGCACATAAATACAGGAAGAGAAAGCCAGCAAGAGAGCTCTGAAGAGGCGAGCTTTATAGCAATCAAATTTTTATAAATAACATCTTCTTTGCATGTCTGGCCACCTCTGAGCTACTGAGGAAGGCGCTAGGCATTAAGGCATTGCAAAAATTCCTGTTATAGCCAAGACTAAATAGAGCTCCCAAAAGTTGACTTATTGTGTATAGATGTTAGTATTTGTTAAGTTTGAGAGTCAATTATGGTAATTATTTTTCTCTGTCCAAAAAAAATATATAGATACTACATGGACATAGAGTGAGGGAGAGGGTGAGGGAGGCATACAGGTGAGTGCAACAGCCATGCCACATGAGCAAGCGAATAACCAGACTCTCCATTCTGCTTCCAAGGTGAGTTACCAGTGTGGAGAAGGCATGCGTGGGAAGGAGCTCCATCACTTTGGCCACCACCTCCAAGCTCTGGCGCAAGTACCGCTGCCACTCTGTCTGCTGCTGCGGGGACACACAAAGTCATCAGCTTTCCCAAAGAGGCAGAATCCAGTCACTTTCCCTGCCAATCTCTCTGCTGCCTCAATCCACTCTCCCACATCACATTCTGAAGGAATGTAAACTGACAGAACCAGGTTATTTGGTACCATAAAAAGACCAAGCTAGAATATTTTTTAACCCAGTGAATTAATTATATAAAAAATTATTTCCTCAGAAAGCAAATGATCCAGACAGAAAAACCTACTTTTTCCCCCAGGGCCACAGGAATTCATAGATCAAAGAGTCACTTGTGAACCACAGACAGGCAGTATTGGCATCCTCTGGGGGCTTGTCAGAAAACCAAATTCTGTGGCCTCACCCCACCCTCCAGCCTCCAAGCATGTTATAATAACAAGCTGATCCAGTGAGCCTTAACGATGCAAAAACTTCAAACACACTGGCCTAAATCATAAAGTTATTCAGAAATGAAACTCAAGTTTGCCAAGCACCTACTGTGTCCCAAGCACATAGGGAGGCTTTCCCTTCGTGTGCCTAATGTAACTGCCAACATGGCCAGTAAATCATGTCACTCCCTTTTCAGCAAATGAGGAAGTTAAGGCTCTGAGAAATTCAATACGCAGACCTCCAGCTCCTCTTGAGGCTGCAGGGATTCAAATCCAGGCCATCTGGTTCCCAGCATCCAGCAATTTCCAACCCAAACATGGCTACCCTCAAGGTCTTGGCCATGCCGCAGTCACTCTTATTTTGAGAACAAGAACAGTTACTTGAAAAATTTTAAGTGCCTGGTGGTTAAGAAAAAGGAACACTAAAGTTGTGTCCTTAAAAAATATTCTCCTCATCAATGCTGGGCATGCCAGCATCAATAAATTCAAAATCCATCTGAAGAAGTATCAGCTTACAAAATACACTCAAAACGGACTTCCTTTCACAATGGTCATATCATTGAAGGACCTCTTTATTCCCAGCAGTTCCCAGCTAGTCCAGGCTGGAGAGCAAGGAAGAAAAAAAGAAAAGATGTGAAGTTCTCTCATGGAATCACTTTGCACTGCTCTACTCACATTCTAGTCCACGTAGGAACAAATGCCTACAAAACATCTTTCACAGTGAAAGTGCCCAAATAGAGCAGTAAGAGAGTGTTTGAAAAGTCCCAGGTCTCCGTTCTGACCCGTGGCACAACACAGCAGTGCTGCTTACATCATCATCCAGAGTCTCATCGTCCAGCTCCTCCAGCTGGGCCTGGTTGTATCTGAACTGGATTCGATTCAACACCTCTGTGAGCAAGAGGACCAGGGCATCTTCGTACCTGTGTGGCAGGAAGACATTGAACATCAGGTGAAAAGCAGCTCAACTCAGATATTGGAAAGGCCTCTGCACTACAAAAGGAATGGTGTCCATGTTGGATGAATATGTACAAGGAGCATCTAAATTCCTGATGCTTAGCTTATGGGTCAGCAAGTGTGTGTGTGAATAGAGTAGCAGCAGCTATGTCCCAAGTACCACATATCTTCTTATGGAAAGACCTTTTTATTATTAAATAGCACCCTTCTTTGTCTCTATAATAATTTTTGTCCTGGGGCCAGTGTTACAGGTTAAGCTGCCACCTACAATGCTGGCATTCCACATGGGCCCCAGATCGTGTCCTGGCTACTCTACTTCTGATCCAGTTCTCTGCTAATGTGCTTGGGAAAGCAACGGAGGATGGCCCAAGTTCTTGGGTCCCTGTACCCATGTGGGAGACCTGGATGAAGTTCCTGGCTCCTGACCTCGGCCTGGCCCAGCCCTGGCCATTGGGGCCAATTGGGGAATGAACCAGCAGATGAAAGACCTCTCTATCTATCTCTCTCACTCTCTAACTCTGCCTTCTGAATAAACAAAATACATCTTTAAAAACAATAACTTTTAGGGCCCGGCGCCATGGCTCACTTGGCTAATCCTCCGCCTGAGACGCTGGCATCCCATATGGGCATCGGGTTCTAGTCCCGATTGCTCCTCTTCCAGTCTAGCTCTCTGCTGTGGCCCAGGAGGGCAGCTGGAAGATGGCCCAAGTCCTTGGGTCCCTGCACCCGCATGGGAGACCAGGAGGAAGCGCCTGGCTCCTGGCTTCGGATCGGCACAGCATTGGACGTAGCGACCATTTGGGGGGGTGAATCAATGGAAGGAAGACCTTTCTCTGTCTCTCTCTCTCTCTCTCTCTCACTGTCTGTAACTCTACCTGTTAAATAAATAAATAATAATAACTTTTGTCTTGAAGTCCATTTGCCTGATACTAATATAGCTACCCCTGCATTCTTTTTGTTACTGTTTACATGGAGGATTTTTTCCACCCTTTACTTTAAACCTGCTTCTGAATCTACTGTGAGTCCATATGCAGGTGAATCATAGTTTTGTTTTAATCCATTGCACCAATCTCTGCCTCTAATTGGAGAATTTAACCCCTCACAGCTGATGTAATCAGCGACAAAGGACACTTGTCCTCTGCTTTCTCTACATCTCATATTCCTCAATTCCTCCACTACTTCCCTCTTTCGTACTGAGACATTTTCTACCGTAGCATTTTGAATCCTTTATCATCTCTCTAGTCTTGAGTTACTTTCTGTCCTAGATTACGGGCACTGTACAGAAACCCCAATTCAATGACTCAGTGCTTCTGACAGCTGTGAGTGGCAGGTGCTATCATCACTACTTTTATGAAGAGGAAAAAACAATTAACAGAAGTTGAATTGCCCACAGTCAAAAAGCTACCAACTTTGTATCCAGGGTTCCAGTATTCAAAATCTCAAGTGCTCCCTACATATAAACCATCAATCGGCTTCTAGCCTGTTCTACCCAATCCTCTAAGAAGACTTAAAAGCAGAGGAAGAAATGGAAAAGGCTCAGGAAAACCCTGACCCTTTGGTCTGTAACAAAGAGTAGTTTCTAAAAAAAAAAAAAAAAAACCAACTCAGAAACCTAAGTATGGCTATCACTCACGTGTGAGAACCTAACTCAGAAGCAAGTCATAAGCACAGTTCCTCCCACGAGGGCCAACAAACCACTCATTTTCAAGAACAAACTATGCTGCCTAAACATCTGTCCATCCTGTTCAGCGCCACCAACAGGGACAAGGGATGAAGACCGGAAGGCAGAGGAGGGGTGGGCTCGCCATCCTGGCAGCATTGCCCCAGCAATGGCCGGCCACCTGACAGCAGCAATCGGTTCCAATTCCAACCACATCCCACATGCCCAGAACCAGCAGCATCGTGGACCCCGAGAGGTACCAGGAGCTGGGCCATTCCCTCTCCTTAAAGGAAGGGATCCTCGTTCCACAGTTCCTCTGAACTCCCACAGCAACCGGGTAGGCCTAGCCTCCTGGATCTGAACCCTAGCTACATAGGCGGCTGTTCTGATCCTCCAGATTTGTCAACTCCAACTTCTTTCATTTGTACTCTTCATCTTATCAGTGTTAGCTCAGTGTTCTTTTGTTTAAAAGTCTGAGTTACAGAGAGAGAGACAGAGAGAGAGAGAGAGAGAGAGAATCTCCCATCTGCTAGTGCACTCCCTAGATGGCCACAACAGCCAGCACTGGGGCCAGGCTGAAGCCAGGAGCCAGGAGCTTCTTCCAGTTCTCCCACAAGGGTGGGCCATCCTCTTGGGCCATCCTCTGCTGCTTTTCCCAGGCCATTAGCAGGGAGCTGGATCAGAAGTGGAGCAACCGGGACACGAAATGGCGCCCATATGGGATGCCAGCATCATAAGCAGCAGCTTTACTCATTTCACCACAACACCAGGCCCTTCAATGCCCCCTTCCTAAAACCTAATTAGTCCATTTCCTACATTGAATTCTCTGTTAAAATCATTAAGAGTGGTCTCTGTTTTCCTGATGACCCTAAATAATATACCACCAAAACTGGATAACAATACTAAAACCAAATGTAGTCCATGCTGTCAAAGAGTTACACAAACCCTCAAGAGTTTTCACACCTCGGAGTTTAGCAGCAAAAGAACTCATTTCTTTCTTTCTTTTTTTTTTGTTTTTTAAGATTTATTCATTTTATTTGAAAGTCACAGTTACACAGAGAGAGGAGTGCCAGAAAGAGAGAGGTCCTCCATCTGCTGGTTCACTCCCCAGATGGCCACAATGACCAGTGCTGCACCAATCCGAAGCCAGGAGCCAGGAGCTTCTTCTGGGTCTCCCACGTGGGTGCAGGGGCCCACGCATCTTCCACTGCTTTCCCAAGCCATAGCAGAGAGCTGGATCGGAAGCAGAGCAGCCGGAACTTGAACCGGCACCCATATGGGATGCCGGCACTGCAGGCAGCAGCTGTACCCACTATACCACAGCGCCAGCCCCAAGAGCTCATTTCTTAACCAGAGACAGAGACATTGCCCATCCATCTTACCCCCAACGACATCCCCCTCCTACTGACAAATGACTGAACAGCCAAACAAACACCAGTCCAATACTAGATGGACAACTGAGCACAGCCCAGCAAAGAATGCAGGCAGGGAAAATGACTTAAAAAAATTAGTAAATTAGTGACATCTCGGCCGGCGCCGTGGCTCACTAGGCTAATCCTCTGCCTTGCGGCGCCAGCACACTGGGTTCTAGTCCTGGTCGGGGCGCCAGATTCTGTCCCGGTTGCCCCTCTTCCAGGCCAGCTCTCTGCTATGGCCCGGGAGTGCAGTGGAGGATGGTCCAAGTACTTGGGCCCTGCACCCCATGGGAGACCAAGAGAAGCACCTGGCTACTGCCATCGGATCAGCATGGTGCGCTGGCCGCAGTGGGCCGGCCGCAGCGGCCATTGGAGGGTGAACCAACGGCAAAGGAAGACCTTTCTCTCTCTCTGTCTCTCTCACACGGTCCACTCTGCCTGTCAAAAAAAAAAAAAAAAAAAAAAAATCACTCCACAGAGTCAAACCCCACTTCAGTAGACTTCAGAGAAAGGTGTAAGCCTGGAGCTTAGATTTGCCATTTGCTTACCGAAGTTTCATGCTATACACTGCTGTGACAGACCAAAATATTTTCACAATTTTTCTAAGGAAGAAAACCCATTTAAGACCAGAGGACAGACCAAAGAGATGAATGCTGTCACCTACACAACTGTATTCCTGGACTTTGTATACAATGGATAACCCTAAATTAGACCAAAAATTCTTAGTGGCAGTTGGTGACTCTGGCTACAAAAAAAGTACTTAACCACTTAGAAAACAAAGCCCCACCTCAGGAACAGGCTAACGCATACACAGAAAGCTGACGACCCCAGAGCATGTAGTGGGGGTTGGGAGGGCACAAGAGTATGGCAGGTGCCTGCCCTCTCCACACCCACTGTCCTCTTCTGCCTTGAAAGACAGCACTGCACTGAGGCCGACTGAAAGCATCTTCAAGCTTCACATGCAGATGGAAAGGTCAGTGGGATCAAATGAAGCCACTGAGTGGAGCTTCAGGGAGAAGCTCTTTAGCCCGAGCTCTCCCACTTCTCATCCCAGCTGCTGGACTGTGGCTGTGGTATCCGCAGCACCGTCACATGTGCTGTGCAGGTGTAGAACAAACATGAGAAGATCCCAAAGTGACATGACACACAGAGGGGTCACCGACCACTTCTCAAGGGAAATACCACCAACAGATGACAACGTGACAGTGACACAGAGGTGGAAGTCTGAGGACTTTCAGGCTGCTACCACGACAACCTCCATGAGGCTCTTCAGGTGGCAGGTGGCACGGGCTGAACTGTGTCCCGGGCCTGCCCTTCCCCAGCGCTGACACCCAATCCTCTCCTCACCCTCAATGTGACAGGGCCTAAAACGGGGCAACAAAGGTTAGATAAGGTTATAAGAGTAGGACTTTAATCCACTAGGACTGCACCCTTATAAAGGAGAGAACTTTCTCCTCCCCACACACACACAGAAGCAGGGCGTGTGAGCTCACTGTGAGAAGGCCATCACCTGCAAGCCACCAGAAGAAGTCACAGCAGAGACTGAATCGGCCAGTACCACGACCTGGGACTGGGAGCCTGCAGAGCTGTGAGATAAATAAATGTCTGTTGTTTGAAGTCACCTTGTCTGTGGTACTAGAGAAGGTAAATGATAAGGAAAAGAAAGCAGTAACTTCCAAGAATGAAGGAAAAGCAAGAGAGTTGGCAAGCAAGTGAGAGAAAATAATAGACTATTTCTCTCCTAACATCTCTAAAATACAGATGATGAATGAAAGCAAAAATCAGAACACTGACGAAGCTTTCAAAGTACACGGATAGGGGCCAGCACTGTGGCATAACCGGTGAAGCCATCGCCCACAGTGCCGGCACCCCATATGGGCACCAGTTCAAG